GTCAAAATGAGTCTATTTTGTAGACATCAACCGAACTCAAGCGTTTAAGGATCAAGCCAACTCAAGTTGATTGCTTGTCAACCCTAATAATAATATATAAAATTCCAATGGATTTGCCGATGTAGTGAACTTCAAGATTCATGGATTAATTTTTTATGTTTACTTCAAATACTCTATTTGGATTGTATATTCTTTTACTAAAATGTTACTTTTAATGTCAAGCTTTAATTTCAATCATAAGTATTTTTTACTTATTTATCACTCATTTATTGAAAAGTAACTGTTTAGTAAAAATTGAAACCTCACATAGGCAAAATTTTCTACCTCATCTCTTTTTATTTAAATTTTATTGAAATATCTTTCATTCTTAGATTATTTGATGATATAAAATGACTAATAATTTTACGGTTAGTGTGTCCAAATTTTTTAAGGAATCAAATTTCACTTATCTAAACATGACACAATGTTTCTCTTGTAATTCATAGATTCAAATTTATCTATCAAATAATTGATTTGTTCATTTAAATAAGCAACGCTAATTTTGAAGTATGAAAATATATAATTGGCAATTCAATAAAGAGGATTTATGTACTTAACCCATATGATTATGTTCGACGCATCGAATTTGATTGTATATGAAAATCTGTATAGAATCATAATAAATAATTATTATGGTGGATAATATTCTTTAATTTTTTTTCTTTATCAACTATAAAATATAATAAGTATGTTAGATGTGGGTTAAGATATGGTATTTGAATGAAAAATCAAACAATATTATTCAACTCAATTCACCATAATAATATCTACCTAATAATATTCATTATAATGTTATACTAAACTTTTTATAAAGTCTATTTCAGTACGCCAAATGCATCCTACATATGTATTGAGATTTTGCCTTAGATGTGCTAAAAAATAAATTGACCTCAATTAAAAAATAAATAAATTGTGAATCCTTTTGTACGAAAATTCTTTAACAATTGAAAAGGGTGCTCCAAAGTAATCCGTGAAAATGAAGGGTGCGACCGCCTCATGAAAGATTTTCACCTTTCTTGGACCGAATTGTGTAGGAAGAATTAGTTTAAATATTGAGCGTGTAGTTCTTATATATTAATGTATTTTATTCTCTTTTGTGTACTGATTGTTTTTTTTAGAGAGACAAATTTTGAGCCTAGCATCCTTAAGTTTGTGTGATAAAGCTTAGGATTATTTTTCCTTGGGTTTTTGGTAGTTTATAGTTCCGTATGATTTTAAATATTTTTTATATTGTGAAAAATCTTAATTGTCCATAATTTTTTCTGTCTTTTTATATTTTTGGGGAAATAGCACAAAATGTACTTACCTTTTAATGTTATTGTGGACAACGTACATACATTTCATTCTTTGAGATTTGCTCTCCTATTTCCACCTTTTATTGCTCAGAAGGTCATTTTCATCCATTTGTTGACGATTTTAACCTCCTATTCAAATAAACAAAATGAAAAGGAAAGAAAAATAAAGAACTAATTGCAATCATATATAATGATTGATTCGTAATTTTTTTTTTTAAAATTTGGGACTATAGTTACGGTTAGTTCTTTATTTTTCATTTCATTTTTTTTTATTTGAATAAGAGGGTAAAATAGTCAAAAATAGATGAAAATGACATTCTATGCAATAAAAGGTGGAAATAGGGACGAAAGTGTCAAATGTTTTATACAATGAAATTGAAAGATAGGAACGTTTTGTGATATTTACCCTAATATTTTTCTACATGTGAACAAAAGATCATGTGAAAATCAAAGAATTGATTTTTCTGGTCTGCCATATTAGACATTATTTTATTTTGTAGGTCTTCCATCTAGACTTTTGTACATTTATAGAAATCCAGCCACATTTCCGTAAGCAAAAGCTTGTTAGAAAACCTTAGTATGCCTTACAAAGAACCCTCATCAAAAAGCCAAAAATTATGTAGAAGAATCATTAATATTCGACATCTTGAACTTACTTATAGATGTATTCCGGAATATAGCAATGCATAATGGCTAACATATGATTCGTCATTAACTATAAGAAAAAGAAATCAAGAATTTTTCTTCACCTTTAAGTTTCTTGATGATAAGATTGTTCTTGTATTAACTTCTTTTTGAAGACAAACACGTCCTCCAATTTAATGTCATAATCAAAATACCCTTACCAAAATACCTGAATGGAGTGTACACATCCATTTGGCGAAGCAAAATGGACAAAATTAAACCACAAAGATATTTTGCACAATGAAAGGTTGATATGAGGACTCAAATGTCAAAAGTGTAACAAGGGAAACGATTTACACAATGAGGATAAATGATATGAACTTTTTGTGCAAATTGCCCAAAATGAATAAAAAGTAAGATTGAAATTTTAAAACTATAAACTTGTTTAAGAAAGATTTCTTAAAATTATTTTCAATCACACATTCTATGAGACCTTTTAACTTTTTTCTCAATTTTTAATCATACATCTTTTATAAATGTATTTTATAAAAATAATTTGGAGCATTGAATATAATTATTTATAATTAATTTTGATGACTTACGACTTATAGATGTTACTTTTGTTTTGTTTGCTAAAACTTGAGGCAAATTGGGTAAATTGAAAAAAATAAGCGAAAAATAAAGAAGCATAAAGTTCAGGACCAAATTACAATTATTAAATAGTTGACTCAAACCACAAAACGATAATTGAAGACTACTAGGAGTCAATTGGATGCAATCAGAAATAAAAAATGAGTAAAATACAATCAAAGAATTTTTACTAATCAATTTTCAATTGCAGAAGTTATGTTTTTTGTTTTCAGTTGGAGATTGAGAACAACTTTTGACATAATAAACATTTGAATTACAAATACTATTTCAACGATAATTGTAGCAATTTGAGTTATCTTTTTAACACGATTTGAATCACCTCAATCAAATATCAGGAAAGAACGTTAAGAACAAAATATTGACAATTGTGCAAAGACATATAAACATGCGGATTTGGACATAATTATTGACATAATTTTATCTTATATAATGGAAGACATGGGCAACCATTAAAAGCTCTCTCTCTCTCTCTCTCTCTTTTGATCACTTCCGTATCATAAAATCATTCAAGAATGAGGGGCAAAACCATCATAATAAGTTGGAGTGGAGAACAAGAATCTGAAGGATCAAAGCTCAGGGTAGATAATAAAGAACAAGAATTAGAATGTGACATCTCTTTCTTATATTTATAAATTTCACGTGATACTTTTTCATCCTTCTTGTCGTTTTATCATTGAAAACATGGTTAACTAGATTATTTGTATTCGATGAGATGAACCCTATTTTTTAATATGTTGCGATTGTGATTAGGGAAAATTTATATTTAAGAGAGTAAGTGTGCTACATTTCAAAATTATGAAACAAAGTTTAAAACTTCAAAAATCAGATTTTATTAAATTTTATTTATAAAATAATTAATTAAACATATATTTTATTAATTATATATATTAAGGTCATAATTTTATACAATTTGGTCACAAATTATTGAATTAATTAATTACAAATTATTTCTCGATCACAAGAAATTTTTTTTATAGGTCACCAATTATTTCACAATCATAAATAAAAAATTTTATAAGTCACAATTTGTTTAGTTCACTAGTCAGAAATTTATTAAATTAGTATGTCATATTATTCATTGATCATAAATAACTAATTTCATAAGTCACAACTTATTTTATAGTTACAAATTATTTTTTTGTCACAACTTATCAAATTATTGGTCAAAACTTAACAAATTTTTAGGTCACACATTATTTGTTGGTTACAATTTATCGATTTGATTGGTCGCACATTACGTATTGGTCATATATTAACAAATTTATTTGTCACAAACAATTAAATTATTTGTGATCACCACCTCACCACTGCTACCATGCGCATTGTCGTCGAAACATTGCTGCCGGGACCACTACCAACATTTTTGGCAGCAAAACCATAATCTCAAACACCTTAGCCAAACACCACCACCATCAGCCTACAACTCCACAATCACAAGCCACGCTAAAAAAAATCCCCAAATCTGTCGTCGGACACTTACCACCCCCTGTAACGCAAAATCATTACCACACTACAGACTTTAGCACCATCATCACTGCCTGATGGTGACATCACCAAACACCTGGAACCAAATCGCGAGTGATGTGTGCACCACGTGTGACCACCAACACCACCACCTCAAAACCTACCCTCAAAGCCACCTCCATCACTTGTGACCACTGCCTGCTCCATTACCATCACCACCGCACAACCACCAACACAATCCAACAACCCAACAATAATCGCTGTAGGAGCTTCGGTGCGGGCCATGGAACGCTGCTGTAGGGGAGAGCTGGCACCACCTATGGAATGAAGCTGTCGGTGAAGTGGATGCTACAGGCAACAGTAGCAGGTGCAGCACGCAACGCACTGAGGCTCCGTTGCGCGCCAGGTGGAATTGTGCCACTTCAAGCAATATTAGCGTCGCCTCGCTTAGAGGTACTCCGGTTGCAAGGAAGGCGGTGGTTTCCGAGGCCGGATGAGGGAAAGTAGGAGAGGAAACGAATGAGGAGAAAAAGAGGGAGAGGGAAGGAAAGAATGTGAAGTGATTTTTAGAATTTGAATGAAAATTGGGAATTAATTTTATTATTAATATTGAATTAATATCTGATTTTTGTATATACAAGCTTCACATCTGATTTTTAAAATTGGATATGGTTGGGTGTAATTTTGACTAAGATTGCGTTACTTTTTGATCCATCAAGAGAAGGTGATATTCCTCCTATGTAACCTCAGACTACAGGCCCCCACTAAAGATAAAAGTATTGGCCCAATTGTATTTCGCGTTGATCCAACATGACTCTCACCAATTTCCATCACTTTTCAATATTGCAATAATTTTAAATAATTCTACCTCTGAATGCAAATTAATTTTCAGAACAACCAAAAAAACTCAAGAAAAATATTGCCCTTTTTCCTATTTAAATTACAATATAGAAAAAACGTAACCTTAAATTTCTTTATTCTTCTTTCTTGAGAAATGAAAAAATAAACTTAACAATATTACGAGTCGAGACATGAATGAGAAAAAAATATATACAGACACACCTTTTACCGCATCCAAGCAAGAATGTGATCCCTCATTTCATTTCTCCTTTAATTGTGCATTGTTGGGTTCTTTTTGCTCCTTAAACCTCTTCAATACTCCATCAATAGCAAGATCAAAAGCATCTTGTGTAACATCACTACCGATATAATTATACACAAATCTTGGTATAAATTCAATCACCTTCTCTCTCATTCTTCTTATTTGTTCCCTACTATACCCTTCCATCACTTTCTTTATAGACACTCCATTTCGCACATCTTTTCGATCTATAAACACCGAGAAGTTTTCCGGTTGTCCCATCAAGAACCATTGATATTGATCATATATGCTTCTTTTCCAGAAAAATACTGGGATTGAACCAGCCAACATGCAATCAAACGTGGATTTTCTTGTATGCGCATCGCCCCTAGGTTGCAAGCAAAAATCCGAGTCCAAAAATGCTTCAAGAACTTCCCATGTCCCGTCATAGCACCGAGTCCCGGAACAATCCACAACCCGACACGAGTCGGACTCATTGTAACAGTGACTCGATAACAGACTTCTGAAATCACTCTTCACCTTGCGTTTCCCACCAACAAATGCGAATAAATTCGTCCTGTTTCGAGTTTGCACAAAATTCAGCCATTGATCGAGATCTGATTTTGACTTTGGGTGGAATCCAGTGGGGTAAGGAACACTGATCTCAAGATGATCCCACGGATTTCTTTCAACGCAGAGCCGTAAGATTTGTTTCATCACAGGCATGTTAATGAAACTGGAACCCCAATCTTCATTCTTTGACCTTCGAAAATCCCATGTCATCCTACCGAGCATGATGAAGTGATCTGAGCCGTTGGATCTTTTCCAGTAGTGTTGATTCTGGAGCCACTTGAGTAACATCTCACTGTGCCAATCCCGTTCTTTTGCAGTATAATTTGTGAACAAATATTTTGCAACTGCAAGTCCAGCATAAAATGGTATATAGAAGGCTGTAGCCCTTTCGGGCTCTGTAGTTCTACACTTGTGCTTCAACATGCTTGCATGATAAATGATCTCGCCAGCAAACATGTCTGTCCAGTACCATGCCGGAGCTAGATTTTCCGGCATGCCGGCAGAGAGCCCGGCTGTAATCGGGCCAAGTCCATCATTGGAAACTGCATTGCAACGCGAATGCCACGGGTCTAAATCCTGGCAGTTGTCTATTAGTTCTTTGTTAAACAAAACTGGAAGATCATATACAAATACCATTCCTGACTGGCATTCTTTGTTTTCAAGAGATGGCAATGTCAATGGTAAAGTCTTGGGTTTTTGCTGTAGAATCTGAGTATGAATGGATATAGATTTTGATGGAGTACAAAGAACAAAATTTAGGATGAGAATCTGGAAGAGCAGAATAAATGAGAGACACAGACAGCTGTACAAGGAAAGCTTAAATGAATTTAATGTGTTCTTTAGCAAAATAATCTTAGATTTTTTGGGGGATTGAGATTCAAATAGTGAGTGTTCCACCATTTGAACTTGAAAGGATCAAATTTAATGTCTGTTTATGTGCGTGAAAATATGAGAGAGAGTTTAAGAGAGGGAGACAAATAGGTTTTGTAGCCGCCCGGAGCATCCAGCTACATATAGTGGGAAAGGCAAATGCAGCCATCACATGCAGGTTTACTGGTCGGCGGTGCCTAAAATAAAATCAAAACAGAATTTTGGAGCTTTTAAATTTTTTAATCCAAAATTTATCAGAATGAAGAGATCTTGACAATGACCTTCGATCAGCCAGTTTTACAGATTGACTAGGAATTTAGTTAAGCTGATATGGTTGACTTTAGGACAATTCTGAATTATTTCCGCAGGGAGCGGGGGAGAGGGTGCATAGAGCCGATTAGAAGCCTCCAATTCATTAAATAACGCCTAAGAGTGGATTAGAAAGGAGAGTAAAGTGCACGTGCTAGAGAGAATAACACGTGGCATTATTTCACCAATTTTAAGGTGAAAAAATGTTATTAGTGCTACAACACTATTCTATGTGATGCTGCTAAACCACCGTTTGGCCTCCATTTTGTGAAAATAAAGATGAGTGAAATAGTATTTTTTTTGAAAAATTAGTGGTCGAAAATAAGGGAAAGTTTTCGATTTATGTGTAATATTATTTTATAGAAGATTGTATGATTGAAAATATGAGAAAGAAAAATGAAATGTAATAGAATGAAAATTAATGGAATGGAGGCTAAGTGATATATTCAATAAAATATAAAATTAAATGATTCATTTAATTATACTTCGTTTAATGACACACTAGTGCTCTAACATCGATGAAAACAAATAAGAAGTTGTCTAGTAGTATATAATAGGGTGTACCGAATGGTATACACTCCACTCACATGGGTGTGGAACCCATGTAAAAGAAATGATATTTTATTCAAGTGAGTCCCTCGCTCATGTGAGTGGGGTGTACACCATTAAGTACACCCCGATGTATCACTAGCAAAACCGAACAAATAACGTTACTTTGTGGCTAGATTCTCATTTGGCACTTGTACAAGTAGTAGAGACCAAATTGCTGTCCAACTCTAATGAAACTAAAACTAATGACTAACTTTGATAAACTTTGCTAAAATTTGAATGAGTATAATCACAAAATATTATCAAGGTTACCATCCTACACAGTTTACTATAAAGATGAGCTTGTTTCTATTTTCACACAGTTTAAAAAATGTAATTAATATAATTGAAAATATGTATTTTTTTACATTTTTTCTAATAGACTCCTACATTAAATAATGGTTTAAATTTGATTAGTTTATATTTATTGATAACAATGTACATTAAATAAGTACATATTAAAAAATTGAAAAATATCTATATTTTCAATAAAGAAGGCGACATATAATTTGGGATAGACGAAAGGAAATTAAACCTATTTTTATGTGTAGGAGACTATGAAATTATTCACTATCTCCATAACCCAAAGAATCACCATTGTAAACAATAGTAATATTTTATTTAATTTTTCAATTATTATTTTCTTCATTTTCTATTGGAATTTCAAGGAGCGATTTGTTTGATTTAATTGTAATAAGCAACCACTGAAACTATTGAGTTGATTAAAAAACATTTTTCATCAATTAATTTTTACAAGTACTATGTTAATTATATTTCCTTAACTAAATACATGTGCCCTACAAATTTGGATCTAAATTGTACTAATATCGCATTGCTCGTGCGAGTTATCGAGGGAGACTTAAATGAGTCAATGCATAATAAAAGGGATGGTGAATTTGGAATCTCAAGGAGGGAATCAAACAACGGCAACGGGCGGCGACGGCAACTTCAACCAATTGACCTTTTATGGCATCCATACCACAAATTTATAAATCAATTTGTCTTTTGTTGAACTTAACAAAATTTTAAATAAAAACTAATATTTTTACAACAATTTGATACACAAATAGATAAAAATTGTATATTTCAAATGAAAGTTGGAAGTGAAAAATTTAGCAAGTTTCTAAACACATGTTGTTAAATATAAAAGTCAATAATGAGCAATTAAAAAAATATGCATCTAATTCTATAACCGGCGAGAGGCAAGGATAGAAATGAGAAAATTGCAACTACACTTAAACAATAAGGACTTAAAAGTCATAGCATGGGTTTTACAAGAGGGAGATGTTGTGTGTACAGAACAAAATTTCACAGAAGCTGTACAGATAACTCACAGCAGGGGGTGAGTGAATTTTTTGACAATTTTTTATTACGTGGGGACCACTACATGTGAGGTTCTGGTAGCATTCTATGAGAATTTATTCTATACAAATGGCTTTTTCCTTTATAAGAAGTAAAGGGCTTAGAAAGCAAAATAGCAACCTATGGGTTGTTGATAGAATCACTATGTCAGTTAGAATCACATCCAGTTGAGAATTTTAAAATATAGAGTTGAATCATCTTACTTGAAATTCTAAATTATTAAAAAAAATAGAAAAAAAAATTAGTACTTTATTTATTTTAATCATCTTTTAAAAACTACATACACTCTAAAATATATGATTGCTCATTTATAGCCGGTAGCACAACCATAACAAAGGTTAAAGTATCGTGTTTGGATTTTATACAATTTGTCTATATATAAGATAAGAAATAGAACATAACACGGAGACCTAGTGGACGAAAGCATGGCGTAAGTTAATTTTCACTTCAACTTCATTACAGGGGACCATCTTTACATTAAAACGACGTTCAACTACTATTGCTACAAGAATACAATTTTAGGACAAATCATGGAAACGTAGTAGAAGAAAGCATGGTATAGGTTAATTTTCACTTCAACTTCATTAGAAGGGATCATCTTTAAATTACGACGTTCAAACACAAGAATACAAAATTTAGAACGAAACTTGGAGACATGGTGAAAGCAAGCCTTGGTAAGGGTCAATTCTCGCTTCAACTTCATTACAGGGTACCATCTTTAAATTAAAATGATGGTCAACTACTATTGCTACAAGAATACAATGTATAGGAGGAAACATGGTAGAAGAAAGCATGGTGTAGGTCAGAGCCGGCCCTGACAATTTGGAGGCCCTAAGCGAGTCGGCAATTTTGAGACCCCATACTTTGTTTTTCTACACGTATAACAATATTTAAATAAAAAAAAATATCTACATTAAATGAAAACTTTGTACAATCTAAAAGATAGAAGTGCTAAATAAAATCACTTACAATCCGAGAGATTAGGCTAGCATCATATTTATCTTCTCATATTTTGTTTAAGACGCTGATAGAACAAATTATTAAGAGTAAAACAAATAAAAAAATTCAGATAAATAACATAGTAAAGTCGCACATACTATGAAGTAAAAAACAAAAAAAGCTTTCTTAGGCTATGTGCAAAGCTTAAACAATTAAATCAAACACAGACGAGCTCACATTTTTCTGCTTCAAAGCTTAATTGAAGGTCTCTTTATATCACATAATAAAGTTTATTACACTTTCTATAAATATTGTAATTTAAAGGATTTTATTTTGAATTTTTTGTTTGTTTGAAATTAAAGCTTTCCAAGAATCGTAAAATGTTGAACCGTCGGTAAGAAACTGGAATGGAAAGGTTGTGGTGGATATTAGAGAGTTCTATTACAAAGAAAGCAAGGACATGCCTGGGAAGAAAGGTTTATTTTTTGTCTTCCTTTAATAAACAAGTAAATATAATTAAAACCCAACATCCAAGATTCCAAATCAACTATATCTTGTGTTATTTGTAACTTGTTCAGAAACGGGAAAAATGGATAGGTATGAATCGTAGTTACCTCAAATTAGGGTGAAATTGCTATCAAAATTCAGAGGGATCTCAACGAGGATTGTGGAGAACCCAAACTCCCTAAGCGTGGAATGTAAATTGCCGGCAACGTCGTAGGCTCGTAGCAGTAGAAATTGCTTTGCTTGCAACTGGTCTCTATATTCTAGAAGCGCCGAAGCAAAGGATTGAGAGGAAGTCGAAATGTCGAATATTCCAATTGAAAAGATACAGAGGCTGAAAAGATACATAGGCTGAGCCGGTTATGTATGTAAAGTCCAAGACTCCAAGGCCAAAAAGGCCCCAAACCATTTTTTGTATTTTGGAACTAACATGAATTTTGAGGCCCTGGGCCCAAGCCAAAATTTGGAGGCCCTAGGCGGTTGCCTATGTGGCTTGGCCCAAGGGCCGGCCCTGGTGTAGGTTAATTTTCACTTCAACTTCATTACAAGAGATCATCTTTAAATTACGACGTTCAAACACCAGAATACAAAATTTAGAACAAAACTTGGAGACATAGTAGAGGCATGCCTTGTTGAGGGTCAATTTTCATTTCAACTTTATTACATGGAAGTATATTTAAATTACGACGTTGTTCAAACTACTACTACAAGAATACAATTTATTTATTTCCTCATCTCAAATGGAATGGGAACAAAAATCTCAATTAAATTAATTTCATAATTATTGTTTCCAAATTAATTTATGATTGACACCTAACTTTGTTTATGAGCACTTGAACTTTTTTTTAATGCCGAAGATAAAGAACATTTTTTATGGAGGACTATTGGGGAGAACGTGCATTGCAGGTTAGTTGAATAGTATTAAAAATAAGTACATATAAGTTTGAAGAAATTCATTTATAAACGTGAAAGATATTCATAAATTGATTGGAATTGACTTACTTCTCGTCTCTTTTCTTTCATATCTCATGTTAATGGTTTATTCAATCTGTTTAAGCTTATAAAAAACCAACCCCAAGGGAAAGAGGATGTAATCTGCTGGACCTCCCATATAAAAATATTAATTGGTAAATTTGTTTTAAATTGTACATGCTTGTAAGTTTGGCTACTAAATTTTGCTATGACGATCAATTTATGTTCTATTGCTTCCATCCACCAACCCCTATGATGAACAATCGTCAATCTGAAAACTTCAATATTCCCAATTGAATTGTTTATAATTCCTCGTAGATGGGTACTTAGCATACAAAATATAATTTTGATATATCAACTTGGACCAAAATCATGACATCTATTTCTTGTGACATTGTGGTAGTCTCACCAATATTGTTTGTTGAACATGATAGATTAACTCAAACTTGTACTGAATCGCACAGTAGCATGAACAAAAAGATTGTTATACCCAGAAACAGTCAAAATATCAAGGTCAAAATCTAAAACAAACATTCCAACTTAAAATAGGTATTAATGCTTTGCTAGCATCATGAATGGAACTGTCAGATATTTCAGCCTTGCTCAATTGGAAGTCTAGTCCTTTCTCATCCATATTTTTTGAAGACCAAGATATC